TTTATTTAGGCAAAAGCAGCTCTGGCTACTGGTAATGTAGGGTCATCTTCTACAATCCCTGGCAGAAATAAGGGCCCTTCAAACCGTAATGTGGCATTTTTAAGCAAGCCATGACTGCAGATTTCAAGGAGACTTGGCCTGGAGAAGTGCAGCCTCAGGCTTCCCCAGTCAAAGGAAAATTACAAGTATAATCTGCACCATCTGCAGCCTCTTGATGTCAGAAATATTCTGAGGGAGAACGGATGAGCCCCTCAATTTACCCCAACTGTGATAACAGTGAAAGCAATGATAAACATCTGTGTCCACCACTGAGTGGTTTCAAGGGTGCAGACCACTCTAATGGGCAAAGGGGAGGTTTTGCAATACTTTGAAGAATTTAAAATATTCTTTTAGAGGCAAATTTTCTTTATATAGAAAATTTAAGCCCTTGAGGTTTCACATTTTACTTATGCCAACAGGTATGTGTGGAAGTTCAATACAATGACTCCTTTATTAATTCATTGGCTGACTATATAAGGTAGCATAATGCTTCCTTCAGGATTGCAGAGGTGACTGACCAAGGCCTAGACCCTAGAGCAATGTTGCCCAAGAAAAATATAATGCGACCCACATATGTAATTTAAAATTTTCTAATAGCCTCACATAAAAAGTAAAAAAAAAGGAGGTGACATTAATTTTAATACTATGTTTAACCCCATATATCCAAAAAATGTTAACAGTTTATTGTCATCAATATATAAAAGTGAGATAGTTTATGTTCTCTTAAAAAAAATTTTGTACTAAGTTTTTTAAATCCAGCATGTGTTTTATGTGAACATAAAGCATATCTCACTTCAGACTAGCCACATTTCAAGTGCTTAGTAGCTACAAGGGGCTAGTGGCTATCATATTGAACCTGTGCAGGTCTAGAGGGCTCAAACAGCCTCTCACACAGGTTAGGCAGAAAAGAATTGTCTTTGTTTAACTCTTATGATAACCTGAGACTCATACACTCCCAGTAACTTGCCTTCTCTGAACCCAATGTTTCCTGTGGCATCTCAGGATTTATGGCAAGATATTCCCAGAATGTACCAGATTAGTCTGAGTTGATGCATTCATTCACTCACTGATCCATGCATTCATGTATTCATTAGAGATTTATCAAGCACTCATCAGTTTTCACCCCAACCTCACCCTTGTCTTTTCTTGACCTCACTCCTCTTTCATTGAAGACTCTAGTCCTATACTCACAGCATTCCCTATCTCCAGTCCTCCATCACTAATGTGGATGAGCCATCTCAAATCCTAGAAGCTCATTGTCACCACCTCCTCACTGAGCTCATTCCCACTGTACTCCAGACACCCATGATGTGTCATTACTGGGTACTGTTCCACCTCTGAAATCATAAATTGATGGATCACCCCTTGGCTTTCTGCCTTTCGCAGTTTCATTTCTGTACCTTGTTCTTTAACTCCATCAATCCCTTGAATTCTCTTTTCTGCCCTCAAGCTTCCCCTTAGTTATCATTTCTTTCTCTATCCAACATGCACTCCCCATGAGCCATCCTTTAAATTACTCTCTTCCCAAAATCAACTCTCTTGCCCACCATTCCTTGATTACACCTGCCTAAGTTCAGTAAAACCATTCTTCTTCTTGGTTCTGACATCTGAGCTGAGCACTGGTGCAAAAATTACCAGCCACCCAGATTGGAGCTATTAGTGTGCTGGTCTCCAACCTCACTTCAGCCCTCAACCCTCCTCAGCAATTCTGTGTTCTCTATTAGCTTTCTCTCCCATTTCCACAATGACCATTCTTCTCAAACCTGATGTCATATTGCCTCCCTTCTTGCTCTCTGGAGATCATCTCCCTACCAACTTTAGAGAAAAAATAGAACCACCACGTGAAAACTCGCTACTCCCTGTTGCCACACCAACACACTAACATGCACAACCAACTTTTCTTCCTTCCCTCCCAGCTCCACCAGACTTGGAGTCCCCTGCTTCCTCAGAGATTGTGCTCCTGTTTACCCCTCTCCTTCTCTTCCCTGACTTCTTTCCATCAACATTTAAACATGCTCAGTTTGCTCCTATGTTATGAAACCCTCCCTTAGCCCATGTCTCCCTCCAGCCATCCCTCTATCTCCTCACCTCTCCTTCACGGCCAAGCTTCTTCAAAGAGTTTTCTGTCCCTGCTGTCTGTACTTCCTCACCTCTCATCCATCTTCATTCCACTAAAATATAGCTTCCACTCTCATCACTCCATGAAAACCTCCCAGTGCCTTCCTTGTTGCTAAATTTGATGGACACTCTCCAGGCTTTATTAGTTCTTAAACATTCTGTAATTTTGCATGACTCCCCCGCCTTTTTGTAAGATTCTCTTCCCTTGTTCCTGTGACATTCTTGTTTTCCTTCTAATTCTCTGGACATTTTGTCCTAGCGTCTTTCATTTCTGTTCCTCTGAACAGCCCCATCCACCCGCCCCACCCCCTGCTTTCAATGATGGTATTCCTAGGGTTTCAGCCTTGGCCTCTCTCCTCCTCTTACATTAAGGTCCTTCCTTGAGAAATTTCCACCACGTACCATCATGTACTGACAGTTCACACATGTGCATTTTTAACCTTTTCCTTGGCCACTGACACATAAATCCTTTTGTCTATGGACTTCTCCGATGGATGTCCCAGGGGCACCTCAAAGATTCAACACACCCAGAGTTGCACTCATCACCTTCCCCACCCCATCCTCCAAAGAAACCACTGCCCTGGCTCCTGTGTCCCTTTCTTTAGGAATGGCACAGTCAGCTATCCTGGCCTCCTGCTTTTCCTTCTCCCCTTTTACTTTCACACCTGATCTGTCCCCAAGTCCAGGTGGTTTGGCCTTTATGTATGTTAAGTCAGTGCACTTCATCCCTGAAGCCACTCCTAACTGGCGCTGACCCTCTTCCTATCCTCAATCCACTCTCAACCCTGCGACCAGAACAATCTTACTACTATGCAAGTCATGTCAGGTCACACTGCTGCTTAAAGCCTCCCTGCATATCCGTGCTATCCTCAAATACAGGCCAAACTCAGCATAGCATTAAAGACCCTTCATTATTGGCCTCAGTTCACTTCCCATCTCAGCTCTTCTTTCCTACCACCACTCACCCCCCCATGAGAATCACACTCCAGCCCCATTAAACTTCTTGAGACTCACTCGACCTGCCATAGGGACTTTGTATTTGTGTTTTCTCACCCTCAAATGCCTTTCCTCCCCCACTGGGTCTACCCCATTCCTCTGCCTTCACCTGGTTACTGCCTGATAGACCTTCATGTCTCACCCTAGACATTCCATCCTAAGGTCCACAGTAGCCTAACGCTAAGTCCCCACGCCTGTGTCATTCACCTCGCTTCATCTCATCAAGTAGGCATTGCATCATGTAACATCATCATAAGAAGGGGGAGTACAGTACAAGAAGACATTTTAGAGACAGAGACCGCATTCACCTAAGTTTTATTTCTGCATGTTGTTATGTTGTTCTAGTTTATTACTAGTTATTGTTGTTAATCTCTCATTTTCCCTAATTTATAAATTAAACTTCATCATAGGTATGTATGTATGGGAGAAAACATAGTGTAGAGGGTTCAGTACCATCCACGGTTTCAGACATCCACTGGGGATCTTGGAGCATAGCCCTTGTGGATAAGGGGAAACACTGTACGACAGTTTGATAGACGCTAGATCACATTGCTGGTTATGTGGTTTCTGAAATGCTAGCCCCACAAAACACTGGAAGAATGCCTGAAGTCAACTAATTTTTAACAATGGTGAAAAAAACAATTCAATGGAGAAAGAACAGTCTTTTCAACAAATGGTGCTGGGACATTTGAACATTCACAGGCAAAATTAATCTCAACCAATGCCTCACATCTTATACAAAAATTAACTCAAAATGGATGATAGGAAATGAAATAGATGGTGGTGATGGTTGTACAACACTGTGCCTATACTTAATGCCACTAAATTTTACACTTAACAGGATACTTAATGCCACTAAATTTTACACTTAACAGGGTTAAATTTTATGTTAGTACAGTATATTTTATCATAATAAAAAATTGTAATGGATCATAGAGCTAATGTAAAAGCCTTTCCCCCAGATTCTGCTTGTCTAGAGCCCATGAGTGCTCCCCAGCATAAAGAAACCTCACCCCCCGCCCTTGAACTCCCAGAGAATTTCCCTCATGACCCTTATCAATTTCTAGTACTGCCTTTAGACCCAGGCAAGTGGTGCTGGTGCCCAATGGCTATTTGGAGTGCCTTCCTCCAAATTTTCTAATTTGCTTTTTGTATCTGGACATGATCCTGCCCGGGTGGAGCACCCAGAGTTTAGACCAATACCTGCATACTCTCTGGTCCCCATTGCTCCCCTTTAAGGATAATGTTTTATCCTTTGCATCAGTATAGGGTTGACCAGATGATCTGAGGGCCTCCAAGACTCCTGCTTACCAAATTATGCCTGGAGTTGATCACTCCCTTCGCCTGTTTGATATTTGATATTTCTTTCAAAGAACCACATGAGATTGGACCACCAGAATGGTTTTTCCATGTTGATTTGGGGTGACTCAAGTTGTTTATGTGAACAGGAGCTCTCCAGAAATATTTGCCCAGGACCTTCACACTCTAGAGGTGGCCCTTTCAATTTCTATCTTGTTATCTATAATATACCCTGAAAGGTCCATGTTAATCATGTCTGCATCCCCTCCCCATAATGGTCCTTATCTTAGTGCCTTGCACATAGTAGATGCTCTTATAAACATTTTTCAGAATGAATGCCTGAAGAAATTAGTAACATCTCAGATTTTATGTATTTCTTTTGATCCAAGATTCTACATATTTCTATGACCCAAGATTCAATTTCCCTACACAAATTCCTAGATCTTCATCATTCTTCTGAGTTGCAAAGAGAGATTTTCATGTCCCCAAGCCCACTAGTCACTGACCTGACCGCTGATGTGCTGAAAGCTTATCAAGAAGGAACCAACATGCCTCCAGATTCTCTTGACAGTAAACTGCAAGTGAACTTCAACTCCAACGCATGTGAAAACAGCTAAGCGTGGGAATGACGGTTGAGTGGTTTCAAGTTAGGCAGCCCAGTAGTTTGGCTTGAACAATGGTTTGGCTGCAACAAATTGTAGTGATAGAACATATGTTTGTTGTGCTTTGCTTTTGATCTTCTGCTTCAAGGTTGAGGATACTCTCCCAAGGGGAAAAGAAAAAAAGAAGGAGAACTGGGTAGAAGAAAATGGACTTCACCCATCACTGAAATATTTCATACCTGAAGCACAACCACCTTGAGAGAAGAACATGGTGGCAGCTCTTCACAGTCACCTGATTAAGGGGCCTGGGTTTGGTCCTAACTCAGAGAGAAATACAACACCACTGAGAGGCACCCCCACAGCACCTGCGTAATCACAGCCAAGCCTTAGCTTGGCCCCAGCGGACATATGAAAAAAGATGACTGTCGGAGCCACCAAGAGGGTGGCAAACTTGCTGTTGCCAGGCCCGCTCACATGGATCACAATGTCTGCATGAGGTCATGGAATGTGGCCAATGAAATGAAAGTGGCTCCTAAGTCATAAAGTTGCAGGCGGGTAGGCATCCTTTTGACTGGCTCCTAAAAATTGAGCTGTACCACTCTCCCTGATGATTCTGGAAAGTAGCTACGTCTCCCAGAGTTGGGGTCAAATCTATACATGTCCAATTCCCACCAAAGCCCACTCTCCCCAGGGCTCACTGGGGTAGAAGGATAACTACACACACACCCCTCCCCAGGATTTGTCTATGTGAGGGCAGAGTGCACAAAGTTTGAAACAGGTGAATGGACAGGTGTACTTCTTAGGGAAGCAGCAGAAAGGTGGCAAGAACCTGGCAGCAGAAAGGTGGCAAGAAGCTGGCCCCCGAGAGGGCTCTGGCACCATGGACAATGACGAACTTCTTGAGTCTGAGACGACAGGTGAAAAGGCATCCCATTTCTCACCACTCAGGCCCTTCCAGGCTGCCTCAGTATAACACCCAATGATCACAGGGGCCCAGAAACCCAGTGCCCTTCTCACTTGGGACCCTCTATACTTGGGATGGCCTGTTATATTGACTTGGCTTCAGGACTTTTCAAGCAGGGAGTGAGAGAGTTGAATGTATGTTGTGCTGGAATTGGCTCCTACCAGTTCTAGCTGACTTTAAATTTCATTTTTTGAGCTGGTCAATATCATGTTGGTAGTTTGAAGTCACCCATGTTGGGAATATTTACACCACTGGGATTGGCTATCACTACACATCAGGATTTTTTTCTGGAGAGCCAGTTAAACATTTACCAGCATTCCACTGCTTGGGTGGAATTCTAAAATTGTTTGACTAATGAGGAAATTAAGACTCAAAAAGTCATCACTTCTTGATAGCTAAATTTTCTAGCTAAGCTGCTGTATGTCTTCTAACTACCAGGCCATTAGCTGCTTCAACCCCTTATCACACAGATCTTACCTTACAGGCTGGGAAATAAATTTTGGGGCTTGGGTCTATGGATAAATACCAAGAAAGATACAGACCTATGTAGACTCATTAGGAACCCCCATCTTAGAACCTGGGTGGTCAAAACTTGGGTGGGCTGCCACAAATGTTCAGCCCACCCAAGGAATAGGTTGGCTAAGTTCTGACTGGCCACCTGGCAGTGAAGCCTGACTTCCCCAAAGCACTGCTTCCTACTGGTGTAAGAGGATAAGCTCTGGGCATTTGTGTGTGGCTTTCAGGAACCCATAGCTGGTCCCAGATAGTAGCCCAGTGGCAGAAAAGCCGTATCTAGCAAGTGAGAGGAGCTCAGAACAAGTGTATTTAATCATAGCAATGAATTTCAACCTCAGGGAGATTTTGTAAGCCATTCCTTCCCCATGGTCATAGAATAGAGGTTGGGTTGGAAGAATCCAGTTACCCTCTTGATTCTTGGGACTGCTCCTGTTCCGGTTTCTTTTACATTTGTCCAAGTTTCCTACCCTGCCCCTTGCCTTCAGCATCGCTTGTGCCTGCCAATGACACATCCTTTCCCGAAAAGAGTAAAGCAACCCTGAACCCCACCCAAACCAGTAAGAAAGAAAAGAGGGAGCAAGAAGCCAATGTCCAAGTTAGGCCTCAAACAAGAAATAGGGCAGCAAGTCTCCAGAGAACACAAGAGGGTAGCACAAGACCCCACAGATGATTGGGTCGGGAAGCAGCAGTGTCAGGGAGGGAGGGCTTGCAGAATGGAGTCCCCTGGCATCTTGAGCCATGTGAAGCTTGAGGGGGGGGGGGCAAAGGCTGCAGCCAGGACCTGGGAGGCAGAGGAAGGGAACAGAGGTGGAGGGAAGCTGGTGGTGGCTCCACCTGAAAGGCTAGCGGGTTTCATTTCCAAAATCAAAGAGACGTGTTTTCCTTCCAGAGGACACTGAAACCCAGCCAGCATCACAGAGCAGTGATGAAATGCTCTACTGTGAGGCCGAAGCCCCCCCAGTCGTCGATAAAGATAAACCCCCCCGGGAGAGTTCAGAAACAGACCTCGAGATCGAAGGTGAGAGTGGGCATTTGGATGGCGAGGGGGCAGTTTGCCTCCTTCCTTAGAAGTGGGAGAGATCTGGTTTCCCCAGGGGCCACGGCTCTGCTGGG